CGTCGGTGGGAATCTGCACTGTTCACGGGCTACACGACATTAAATTAAAACTTTTTCTCAGGAATTATGCCGTCAATACATATATTTTATTCAGGAATTATTCGTGAACACATGTATAATAATTAACATAAAATTATAGTACACAGATTATACATCAAATATTCAAAAATTTGAAACTTTAAATGCAAAAAAAAAAAGAAATTTTATAAAGGCATGTCCACATTATCATGTAAAGTTCTAAAATAACATAATGGGATTATATTATTACGAGTAGGAGTAGGATCATATTTACTATTAAATTCAGATATATTGGGACATACTTGTATATATTGGGACATACTTGTATATATTGGAGTGGGCCAAAACAAAGTTTATATTTTTTCTTAGGTATTGTGAAAATATTGTTTGAAATGGTAAAAATATTATTATAAAGTTTGAGCTCTTAATATTACAATTAACAGCGCGTTGTGATTTTTGATGTCCCATATAAATAACACAGGATAATTTAATGTTTTTTGTTTGGATATTGTATAGAATTATTGCATTTTCTAATTTTATTATATTATGCAATATTATGTTATACAATTGATGACTTTTATTATTGCTTTTATTTAATATCATAAGTTCATAGTGATTTTAGCGCCATATTTATAATATTGTTTACATTCTTCACCAACTTTATTTACTGAATGAGATGTTGTGTAGTTTGATTTGTATGTAATTATTATATTATAATTTAAACAAGAAAAAACGTTGGCTGCACTGAAGCTATAATACCCTTCCCATTACTTAAATCAGAAATGAGTATAAATATATTGATATTTTAATTTGCATCAGTTTGTTTGGTGACTATATGCTATTGTAGTTGAATCGAAGATTTTACGATTACCTTCGATAATAATCCATGCTAAATTTCGTGAAGATATATAAAGAGTTTTTCATATAAGGACATGTATTTGGTCGTTCAGTTTGTATGGCAGCTATATGCTATAGTTGTCCGACATCGTCAGTTCCGACAAAGGAGCAGCTTCTTCGAAAGAAAAGGTCATATGAAAAATTTCAGATCCATATCTCAAAAACTGAGGAGCTAGTTCGCATATTTATAAGCAGATAAACGGACGGGCAGACAGGCGGACATGGCTAAATCGACTCAGCTCATCATGCTGATCATTGAGACATGATATATTATATATTTTATAAGGTCTACCACATTTCCTTCTGGGCGTGACAAACTTCATTCCAAGTTCAAGGTATAAAACATTAAAAACAGTAATAAAAGCCGTCAATTAAACATCATAAAATTTTTAATGTTTTATTACTTCCAACTATGTTATTATAGGAAACCGTTTATTTTTAATTGTGCTAAATAAATAAATAAATTCATAACACATATTATATATTATGATTTTGTAGCATTATTTTATGAATAAATATAAAAAAATTATCTTTTACGAGGTTTTCAAGTTGGACTTTGACCTCGAATAACTTATGAAGGGTCGACTTTATCATATTAGACTTTTTTGTAGATCTTTAAATTCCCTGTTTAAATGCAATAAACCTGTTAGTATTAAGATTAAGAGCTGAAACTTAACCAGAACTTTTTGTCGACGATGCTTTCACTTTTTTTTGTATGTACATATATACATATACAACAACAATGTATATAAACCCATTTGAATTTATATTGTTGTAACATTCTATAACATACTATGTATAATGCTAACATTTCTATAACCAATCAAATCATCAAAAAGTTGCTACATACATATGTATATACCATACACTTGCCCTAAAAGACACATAACCTTTATCACCATTTGTGAATTTTAACTTTTTGTACGTTGTTCGTGGCAATAAAGATAAATGTGATTATTTATTTTATCAGTAAAATTCCCATTTCACTAGATAAGAATTGCATAGTCACCTCAAGCAAATGAACTACAGACTACTTTCATTTAGTAATAGTCATTGTTTTCGCCATCAACCCCCATTTGTGATGAAGTTGCAAAATTTTTTTACCGTTTTAACAATTTGGTATTAAATAAAATTTAATTTTTATACCTCTGTAAATATTTTTAATGATTAGTAGTATTTGAAGTCTTATGATAAATGAATTTGAATCTTTATATTATTCAGAAATGTTTTAGATCTCATAATACCCATCATTCAAAAGCGCTAGAACGTGCCCTATAATAATTCAAAATTAATATTTCACGTAAAACTTACTCAATGAATTGAAATTAATATTATAACAATAACAAACCATTTAAGAGTTATTTTTAAAATCATACATTATACGAGCTCATTACGCAGCGAATTGCACTATTAAGTTTGATGTTCATACAAACTCAAATTAACTATCAAAACCGTTGACAGGCGGTAATAGTAAGTTTATTTGTGAACGCCACTTACTGAACAAGGGAGAAGATGAATAACAAAGTAACACTTAATCAAGTGTTTCGAGAAACAGGAAAACGCATGTTATATTCAATGAAATTATTGACTATTTGGTTTCTCTAGTTTCACTATAAAAATTATCTAATTTAGGATTACATACTTTGAGTCAGCCATTTTTGTTTTATTTTTATGTTCTGAAAGGAATATATTAAGTTTACCACGAACTTTTTAATAATCAAAAAGTAAACATCGGATATCCTATAAAATGTATATATGTACATATATGTAAATGATTAGCGTCACAAGGTAAATCCATATAGCCATGCCAGTCTGTCTGTCTATTATTGAGATATCGATCCGAAATCTTGCACACGTTATTTTCTTTTCAAGAAGCTCCTCATTACTTGGAACCGATTTCGGGTCACTATAGGATAAAGCTTCCATACAAACTGAACGATTAAAATCAAGTCCTTGTACGGAAAACTTTTTTATTTGATATGATATCTTCACGAAATTTAGCATGGTTTATTGTCCAAGGCAATGCTACAAAGACTATAGTATATAGCTCTCATACAAATTGACGATTAAAATCAAAGCGTATGTGGAAAACTTTTTGATTTCACAAATTTTGCATAGATTATTGTCTAAGGCAAGGCTACAATTTCCGCAGATCGAACCCCTATAGCATAGCATTTGACTGGTAGCTATCATCATTCAAACTAACCAACTAATAAGCTCATCCTAATCATCTATCTAATCCTTATTCCTAATTACATATAAAATCTTAATACGACTTGAAAGATGTTTTTACCAAACAACGTGACTAGAGAGAACAAGCAAGGCGTTTTCTGTTGGATGCAAACCGTTGACCCTACAAGTACAAGTATACAAATAGTTGCTATAAGAAAGCCCTCTGTAAAGGGCATTATAGCTTCGGTTTGGCCGAAATAAAGTTTTTTTCTTGTTTGTCCTTTCAGCAAAAGTATATACCCGAATCACTTTCCTTCTACCAGAACACTGCAGAGTCTTCCAAACGGAGATCACAGCAATTAGAGAAAGCCTTCTTGTTCTGACAAAGAGTGTGCACACAGCAAGGAATATATTTATATAAACAGATAGCCAAGCAGCTCAAATTTAGTAAAATAATGCCTTGATCTCTTAGTGGATCTAACTTATATATTCCTGTTAACCGTGAAGCAGATGAATTAGCCAGATCAGGCACCACCCTACAATGAGACACTGGAAAAGAGGGAATTTATGTATATGCCTCTGGCTACTTTGCTTTTATCAGATCAATCTAAAGAATGTTGCACATTATTTTTGCACCGCTTGTTAGATGACTAGATAGTTATCTTTATTTATTCACTCTTGAAACTCATGGTGACATGGTAATATATTTCTTACTTATCATAAAGTAAACAAAGGAAATTATTTACTTCTCGGACACTTTGATGACATTTAAATATTTATCTGAATTCGTTGTTCGATAAGCGCTAAATTTGAAAATAACAACATTATTTAGAAAAAAATTATTTTTAATTTTCAAAAATATTTATAGCTAGTCGTCATCTTATCAAATGTGATTTGATTACAAAAATAATTTTTGAACAAAATCGAAAGGCCGAATTCTTAGACAATAGTTGTTACAGTCTCATATATTAGAACCAACATCAAGCACCCAAAGAATTCGTCTCAAGGCAAGCGTGCACTCAGCTCCGTCATGACATCGAAAACGTGAAAATTGTGTTTGAAAATCGCCGTGTAAGTAATAGATAACAGCAGGTGTTATCAAAATAGATTACAGTTGCACGCGCTACACATTTGTTGATGCCCTAAGTATGAACTGCACAGGTGCCACACTATATAACATAAATATAAAGTTTTTACAAAGAGAATGTCGAGTATAAGTTTCAAAAGCGACGTTTGCCTACGTACCATAAACTCATCTAAATTAACATTGCTACTAGCTTTGTATTTATGATTCATCAAAGAAATTTTGTTGTGCTACACAATTTCGTTGCAATCGATAGATTTTCAAACGTGTCTAAAGAAAACTAACTTCATTAATGCTAACTTCTGGATAAATTCATTAGAAGAATTTTTTCATAAAGACTACAGACTTTAATACAAGATGAGTCCCTTCGATAATTTATCTGTACCACACCTCTGTTTCTTTCGCTTACACACACAATCAGTATAATATCTGGTATATCAACATGTGCGTATGAATAGAACGTTTAAGCATATTTTCATATAATATATACTTGTAGTATATACATAAATAATGTCGCACATAAACAGATTCAATAATATTTTCATACAAAAAAGTAAAGGTTATTTGATGGGTGATAGCAATGACTTAGCAAAATATTGTTTGAAAACTAAGAGATGAACACGTTGTTCGCGCAATCGATAAGGTTACTCACACTCTCGAAAATGGTATACTAGATATACTCATATGTGATTTACGTACATCTGCTGAGTAAATAAACGCAACTAAATTATCTAATCTCCAATGCAGATAACAATAAATACATATACATATACATACAATGCTTACGATGACTTGCAAAAATTTTGAAATATTTATTTTAACAATATGTTATCGCCAACAGGTTTTCAACGTACAAGCGACTCAGTCAGAGTTCGAACGTAAAGGCAAGCGGTCGTGCGCGATTACATGTATGTACAAATACTTATGTATATAGGCTATAATTAAAAATATCATGTGTTTACGAATTATTTAGTGCTGTGTAAAAACATAAACATTAAATTAAGTGTTAATAAGTAAAATAGAAGCATTGGAGTTATTAAAAAAAACTATGTCTAACAGCATGGAGGAAGGGAAGATGGATTTGAATGGCAAGAATATTATTTATATCGGTGGTTTTGGTGGCATTGGTTTGGAAACATGTAAAGAATTGGCGCAAAAAGGTGTTGCGGTAGGTGGATCGATAAAACTTCAACATTTAAAAAAATTACAACAAAAATAACACTTGTGTACTAAAAAAGCTAATATTTGTGCTAAAAATTTACAGAACCTTATGATACTATATAAGACCTGGAATGAATCAGCGTTCAAAGAACTTAACTCAGTCGATTTGCGTTGTGTGTGCCAGTTTACGCAGTTTGACATCACCTGCGGTTTGGAAAAGACGCGTCTATTATTTAAACAAATAGCGGAGAAATTCGAAAACATCGATGTGCTAATTAATGGCGCGGGTATATGTGATGAAAGAGATTTCGATAGTATAATCGCTGTTAACTTTACGGGCACCATTAATGCCACTCTCGTTGCCTACGATCTAATGGATAAGTGCAGAGGTGGTAAAGGCGGTGTAGTTGTGAATATCTCTTCGGTAGCGGCACTAACACCCTTCCCCGTCCTACCCATATACAGTGCGACAAAGGGAGGGATATTGAACTTTACACGAGCATTAGCGGTAGGTAAACTACAGCGACAATTGCATATAGTGAGCGGTGATTGCAAAAAGATGTATGTGTATGTAGCAAATAAAAATGTACAATGTTGGCACGTGTTTTGGTGCTATGGTGTCGAGTAATACATAAGATTACGTGACAAAATCTGTACACGGTAAACAAGGCTTTACGATGTACGCTAAGTTTTTCAGCCGATAACAGTTACATATACTTGTGCATTTTAAGCATACATACATATATATACGTATATAAATATTATTTTGTTTGTTGGCCTATAAAAGATATACATACATACAATTTATTTGTGTGTATATACATAGTTTTAAATTATGTCGACTCATCGTGGCGTAAGCATTTTTTTTTTTCACTGCCGTAGAAATTCATCAATACAATCATGAAATTTATCGCACTTAGTGGATACCTTGTAAAATATAAAGTTTCCTATACAAGAACTTGATTTTGATCGATCAGCTTGTAAGGAAGGTATATGCTATAGTGGTCCGATATCGGCGGTTTTGACAAATGAGTTACTTCTTGGAGAGAAAAGCAAGCAAAATTTTAGATCGATATCTCTAAAACTGGCGGACTAGTTTGCGAATAAACAGAGGAAACTAAATCGGTGCAGCTCGTCATATATTATATTACATCATATATACATATGTATACTTGATAGTGTCCTCGATGTTTCCTTTTCTTTATTACAAACTTCATGCCAAAATTAATATATCTAGGTTTTAATTTTGGGCTTGATCGAATAGAAAGAACAAGAGTTTTTGAAACATGCTTAACTAAGAATATATGTTTTGTTAAGTAGGTATAGCCTAAAAATTCTTATACAAAGTTTGAATAATTAAATATTAAATTACTTTGATAATTACAAGTAAGCGGAAATATTTTTTTAATGAATAATTACAATACAGAATTTAGTTAGTATTCACACTACATTAAGCTCTTATAATAAAGCTAGTCTTCTTACTACATTCTGCACAGACTGGTTATTACTACCAATCATGTTATTTCTTACTTTACAGCAATTAGAACCCAAATCCGGCATAACTTTATATAGTATTTGTCCCGGCATTACGAACACCAAACATTGGGACGATGTGCACCATTTCCAAGGCAGAGAGTTATGTTTTAAAGAGAAAATGCGCAGTCGGCCGTTTCCAACGCAAACGCCTAGCGATTGTGCAAAGAATATCATCAAAGCTATGGAAGCGCATAAAAATGGCGTTACCTGGATGTGTGATCTGGGGCAGCTTAAATTGGTGGAAATAAAGAATTTTTGGACACCACCACATCACAAGCAAAATCCGGAGACTGAGCAAAGTTAGAAAACATGCTGAGCAAAGGCAAAGCTAAATACCATAGTTAAAATTTCTTCCATCACGTAACTTAAAAACCTCAAATTTTTGTACGTTTGCAGGTGCATCTGAAGAATCTAGAAAGCGGAAACTGCAAGTGTCTGCGCGCGAAAAGTGATACAGCTGATATAATCAATTGAGAATGAAACTAAGGGACGCAGAGCTCGACATTCTACAATTCATAGACTGAATAATTAAATATACATATTTATGTACTATATAAATTTCTACGTAAGGAGTACCTTATTTCTAGACTATAAGAATTTAATAAAAAAAATTACACATATTGTATTTGGTTTGCAGTTTGTTTGTGGTTGTTCTATTAATAGTACTAGGTTTTATTTTAGACTCTTAGTAACTCTTACAGTCCTAATGTCATAGAAACATACTCGCATAGTGCTGAAACCGGTTTGGCAACATTCTACAAAGTGTGACAAAAATTTGCTCAAACCCCTGTTGGAAATGATAACGAAAGAAGTTTTATTATTATGAGGATACGTTAACTATACTAAAAAATAAGAAAAAGCGATAACTTTGGCTGCACCGGAGCAATAAAACACTTCACAGGATAGTTTTTAATAGCATAAAAGGGTGTAAAAAGATCTTTTTCTTGATTTTGATCAGTCAATTTTTATGGCTGACTATATGCTTTTGTAAGCCGATCTGAACAATATGTTCGGAGATTGTGGTGATGCCTGAGATATTATTCTATGCTAAATTTCGTGACGATACCTTGTCAAATAAAAAAGTTTTCCATACAAGAGCTTGAGTTTCAATGATCTGTTTGTATGACAGCTATATGCTATAGTGTTCCGATATCGGGAATTCCAACAATGAGCAGCTTCTTGGAAAGGAAAGGGGAGAATGTTATGCAAAATTTCAGTTCGATATCTCAAAAATTGAGCGAGGCAGCAGACAGACGGACAGGCGGATATAGCGAAATCGACTCAGCTCGTCGCGCTGATAATTCATGTCTATATTGTATAAGTACAAGCTTCGTGAATATTTATATACCCTGTTCGGGCTATAAAAAAAAATAAAAAATAAAAGCGAACTTTAAGTTATGGTATATGCATAATGTTTTTGAAAGTTGATTCGAAATAAAATCTATAAATATATTGATAATCGCAAAACTAATAATTCAGTAAAAAAAAATATATATATATTGATTATACTAATAATGGTTAGAATGCTAAGATTTTGTACTAAAAACTCTTTTTGACAGTTTTGTTATTGCTTAACTCAGCATTGTTTGGGCATGCGTCGCAGATGGACCCCAGAAGATAAAAAATAAGTAATTTTTTATATGATAAAGGCCAAAACACAAGATGGCGGCTGAAAATGTTATTAGTACATATCATGCAGTACTGCTATTCAAAATTGTGTTTCTAACCTTTACTTTTGTCATAGTAACGTCGAACGAGAATATAGGTATATAATATGCTATACTCTCTGATTTCCTGCCTGGCTGGTTATCTGAACTCCAATACAACCATTAACATATAGGTATGTATATTAAAGAATCTAGTTGATTTGATAAGTGATAACGGTGAGTCAGAAATATAATGGAGTTAAAAAGGTTTAAGCACTGATAAGTTTAGCGTCATTTTAAGAGAGCGCGACGTTTACAACCAATATGAATACTCTCCCAGTACGTGCTGATTAAAGTGCGTTCGCTCACAGCTCTTAGAATAGACTATACGGAAATACAATAACTATGCTGATAATAGCAAAAAACACATACATACCTACACTTTATATTGGCTAGGTAAAAATATACCAAAAATTTAAACACTCATTTTTATCGCGACTGTATAAAATACACTGGCAGTTCAGTCAAACTTCGAACGCAAAGGCAAATGGTTGTGTTTGCACATAGTAAGATAAAAGTTGAACTGAGTATTTTAGTATTGTGCAGTGCGCTTAAAAACCGGATAGATAAACCTTGAAGGCAAAAAAATATAAATAAATATGGAGTGTAGTCAAATGTGTGGAAATCCAGTAAAAAATATTAATATGGAGGAAGTTGTATTGGATTTCAATGGAAAGAATATTGTTTATATAGGTGGCTTTGGTGGCATCGGTTTAGACACGTGTAAACATCTGGTGCAAAAAGGTATCGCGGTATGTTAGCGATTTGCGTTTAGAGAATTTCAATAACAACAAATTTAAGAGCAACATTTCGTTACATTGTAGAATCTTATGATACTCGATCTGGCATGGAATGAGTCAGCCTTCAAAGAGATAAATGTCGTCGACACAAAAAGCGTTTGCCAGTTTATGGCGTTTGACGTCACCTCTGGCTTGGAAGAAACTCGTACAATATTCACGCAAATAGTGGACAAATTTGGCTATATCGATGTCCTAGTTAATGGTGCGGGAATATGTGACGAACGAGATTTGGATTTAATTATTTCAATTAATTTTACGGGCACCATTAATGCCACGCTAGTAGCCTACGATTTAATGGATAAAAGTAAAGGTGGCAAGGGTGGTGTTGTTGTGAATATATCTTCGGTAGCTGCACTAACACCCTTCCCCTCCTTACCCATTTACAGCGCGACAAAGGGTGGGATATTGAACTTTACACGAGCATTAGCGGTAGGTAAAAAAAGCTGTGGAACAATCTTAGTATTCACATATTATACTATAATCACAGATAAATATTTATAATAAAATCATGTGATTGGTGTGAAGTGATAAGTTTAGTAATATGCATATAAGTGTAATGGTACATTAATATTCAGTTAAGAAATTTATTTCTAAAAAACAACTAGATAACATTTGCAAAAACAAAACAAAAACTATAAATTTGAAGTGGGAGTGAACAAATACAGTGTTGTGCAATATATATGCATTGCATATATATTTTTTAAATAAATTGCATACACATATGCTTAGATATATTTAGATTTTACATCAAGAAAGTATCGGCCAAAACTAAAATATGTGTAATATTTTGACAAACTTGCAATTTTAAGAGCTGGAGAAACTGGCTTTAAAGTTGAAAGCGAAGTGCTAAAAGAAACAGCTGATCTGCTTTGTTTGCTGACAAGTCGTCATCGATTCGCTATTTTCCTGCTCGCTATCGTTCTTCGCAGTTCTCAAGCTCGCAGCAAAAAATTATCATGTAAGAGCAATAACAAAGTAAAGGGGATTGAATTCGATGTAAGAGAGTATGCGATTACCTCCGTTACTTCAACGTAACCAAGTTTCGTTTTTCACATTTTGGACCAGATAATTGCTTACAAAAAATTTAAGGAATGTACTCTACTCGAAATAAACTGATTACTAAAATGTTATTTAGTACAGCAAGAAGTGTTTCTCCATTATTGAACAAAACGTATAGAGATAACATATTGTGTGTTCCTATTCGGGCATAAATAAAAACCAATTTATCAATAAAATCGATAAGATGTTGGTTTGAACAATATAGAAGTATACAAGAGCTTCTAATACATACGACACACTATACATTATCTTAAGAGAATTGATAATATTGTTTTTGAAAGAATATTAATTGGATTACTGATATCAAATAGAAAATAGTATGTATATTAAAGAAACACTGTAACAGGCATTTAAAAGGAGGAACGAGAAAAAACGTTAATGGATGCACTCTTCATAAATAAAAATGTTTCTTTACAACGATTTTATTTTGCTCATTAAGTTTATATGGCACCTATAAGCTATAGTAGTCCGATCTGAACAAATTTTTCGAAGATTACATGTCAAGTTTTGCGAAGATATCTTTTCACATAAAAGACTTTTTCATACAAGAACTTAATTTTCATCATTCAGTTTGTATGGCAGCATATGCTATAGTCGTCCAAAATATAAATACAGACAGACAGACGGACATGGCTGAATCGACTCAGCTTGTCACCCTGATCATTTATATATTAATTTTATAGATTTTCCGACGTTTCCTTCTGGGTGTTATAAACTTCGTGACAAATTTAATAAGGGTTCAGGGTATACAAATATACGGCACACCCAAAAAAAATTATCAATTTAAAAATTATAATCTGCTATACTTGTACTACTAAATTGATAATAATAATTTCAATAATTCTCAGCATTTAGAGCCAAAAACTGGTATAACGCTATATACTATATGTCCGGGCCCTACCGACACTAAACATTTTGAACATGTACACTGCTTTCAAGGCAGGGACCTGAAGTGGAAAGAGAAAACGCGTCGACTAGTCAAAGCACAATCGCCAGGTGATTGTGCCTTGAACATTATAAAAGCCATGGAGATGCACGCTAATGGTGCAACTTGGATGTGTGATTTGGGCCAACTAAAATTGGTGGAAATAAAGAATTTCTGGACGCCACCGCATAAGCGATATAGAGAGGATGAACAAAACAAAGAAGCCGAACAAAATAAAGAAAAAGAAGATACGAAGGAATTAGAACAAAACGAAAAAACATCACAAACCGAAGAAACGGCACAAAAAGAGGAAACATCGCACAACGAACCATCCGAAGAACAAACGAAAGAAACTGTACGAGACCCACAAGCAGAGACAGGTTAAAGTTAGATAATAAAAGAATATTTGACTTTATGCATTTACGAATATATTTATTTTGCGCTTTCAGATGAAACACTGCCGCTGAGGAAACGAAGGTATCTAGTATCCGATTTAGGTAGAGATATGCAAAACAATTGCAAAACATGAAGACCACCATTGAATATTGAGTATTAAGAAAATTTAGTTGAACATTTTTATAAAAAAAGTTGTAAACATATTTAACAGTATTTTAGAAAATTTTATTTATTGAAATATAGGTTAAGATAAAAATTTCAATGTATAAGTAATAATAAGAGTGTAATTGATTAATATAGAAAATATGATATTAGTTGTGCAATTTCTTTTAAAAACTATTTTCACACTCATATAACACCTTGCACAGGGTATAATAGTTTTATGCACCTTTTATTCGTTCTGTAAGTTATAATTGTTTTAGGTTAATAGTATTGGTTTTTAAATTTTTTTTTTTTGCAACATAACACTGTTATATTGCTTCAAAAAGATGGTATTTGGTTTACGATACAACAGAAAATGTGCCTCGTAAAGAGAGAGAACTTCAATCCACACGGACCGCCAGATTAGTAGCATGTCAAACAGCTATCCGCCAAAGAGTTGCCGACATCCCGAGGGAAATTTTGGTTCAAGTTGATTCAGGGAACCATTAGTGTGTTCAAGTCAGAGATTGATTGGAAGATCAACAAGTATAAATTTTGTGGTCTGGAGCGACGAAACAAATGTTAACCGACTTGATCCAGATGGCAGAAAATATGTTAGATTGCCGAAAGTTGCAGTGTTTGTCTCCAAATACGAGTCCCCTGTCATTAAGCACGGTTTCGAAGAAAAACAATATTTTGGAATGATTTTTATGGAACGGGGGTGGAAAAGTATTTTGAGATACTGCGTACCGTGTTGCTGTAGATTAAAATATGCCAGTAATTTGGAATGAGTAGGATAAAGATCTAAATCACTGTGATATGTGTCACAAAACAGTTCTTTGAGCGAAACTCTGGCCAGCGTCCAGTCCAGATCTTAATCCCATTGAGCACGGAACGATGTCAAAAAATTTGTAGCCCAACAAAACATCACCAATTTTGACATGCTTTATGAAAAAGATAAAGAAGCTTAGTATGCTATACCCGTTGCAGACATCGTCGATGAATCGTCGGTGTGTTGCCAAAAAACAACATGGATTTACGACATATTGCTAACTCTTGACAATAATATGTTAATATAATGTTTTAAAAATATTTTCTCAATGTTTTTGTTTATTTTAAAAAATAAATATTTATGTTTCTAACTAGCGCAGACATTTATAATGTTATTGGAGTAATGATCTCAAAGGCATATAACATAATATCGTTGAATGGAATGGCGGAATGAAATTATGTGGGAAATGTGGCTCGGAATATAAGCAATATAGTTGCAGGCAATTACAAAATCTGAGCTACGAAAAAAAGGAAATGGTGAGATAATAGCTCTGTTACTGGCAACAGAGGAGAAGGATAATTGGATAATGTTAACGTGAACGCGTTCGATAAATTTATACACCATTGTACCCGCTCTCTCACTCCTTTTTATTTTCTTAAAATTATTTTCTATAGTTTTTCTTTATTTTTAGTTAAGGTAAAAATTCCTTGAAATTACGCTTGACCGTAGTTAAACTGCACTTTTATTTGTTTACTTTTTATTAACACTTTCCCTTAGAAAACTTCAGAAACTTTAAGTAAAAAATAAATAAATATATTTAAAGAAAATTAGTCACGGACGGACATTGAACCTGGTATTTGTTTGGATGGTATTGGAAGTCACAATTGTCCAGGTCACGGCAACAACTATCACTTCGCGTGTTAGTGTTGCAATTAATTGTTGGCAATTTTCGTGCGCGCGCGCTCACTTTGTGGCATGCAACGTGTGGCCAATTGCTGCCACTAACAAATCTCACAGGGCCTCGGGGTCCATTGAACTTTAACACGAATTCGCTGTGACGAGAAAAATGTTTATTTTTGGGCGCTGCCGCTGTTGCACGGCTAGCACTATTCGACTGCATATGGTTGTGCGGCATTTTGAGCAAATGTTTGCAACTTGTAAACGCTTAACGGAATTTGACGACGCGGAAAAAACCTGACAAAACTTACGAGTATATGTAAAGTAGATTTCTCCGATAGGGAAAACAGAAAAACAAAATTAAAAATGGTAAAAATTGAAATTAAAATTTTTACAAGCGAGACAAATTGGCAATGTTTCAAGTTTTGCAATGCAAAAATGCAGGCGATCATATAGATGCATGTGCATGTAGCAGGTATTTTTCAACAATAATTTTTTGATGCGCCACTTCCACCTATATGTATGATTCAGAAATATATGGTATTTTGACAGCATCTAGCAAAAGACTTTTTAGCAAATTAATGCATTCTTTTGTGCATATTTTATTTAACTCTCAGTTGTAAAAGACAATTCTTTGATAAAATAGCAGCGTACTTGCTTCTTCCGAAATGCAAAGAGATAAACAAATGAATTGGCGCCCGCTTAGTCACTAGCGTGCTATTTTTCATGCATGCAACCCCTGAAGTTAGCGCACATTTCTATAATACCTGAATGTGTTGCATGAGTGCAATATGTGCGAAAGCGGCATAAATTTGGGTTGCGCGAAGTTGAAGCTTAAATCTCATACTTTGTGGGGAAACCAGTTCAGGTAGAGTAGCAGAGTTAGCGAGTAATTCGTGCGAATAGTCTAGTTCGCTTACAACAACTTAGTGTGTTTAGCGGTTATTACATGCTTAGCCGGTATTCATGAAGGCCTCTTAACTCATATACAGGAAATGTGGTAGGCGAAAGGAGTATGCGAAACAAATACACTTAAGAATTTTAGCTGCAGCTGGGAATTTCAGCAGCCGTTAGTCTAAGTGGCTTACTTGTAAGCCTAGATTTGCCTAAATTAGCTCTAAAACGAATTGACAGGTGAATTATGAATTTCTCAACAGCGAATGAGTCATTTGTTAATCAACCAAATTGTGTAGAGCTCTTAATATTATAAAGCATATATTAATATAAGGAAGTAGTTAGACTTGTAAGAGAGCTTAGAACTCAATTTAAAATTTTAAAATTTTTTAGGACTCAATAGTATGTAAAAATTTTTTCTGATCGAAGTTCTTTTCAAAAAAGCGTTCGGAATAGAAATTTGTATTCAATAAAATTATTTGATTCTCGTAAATGCATTTGTTTTAAGAGCTCACACAATTCTTAAGTATGTTTAGGGGTCTTCATATATAGACAATTACATATACTTATATTTTTCCCAGAAATTTTCAACAAAACACCGGCTGTGTCCTCTAATTCTCCAATTTTTGCTAAATAGGCTAAAAAGTCTTTAGAGCTAACAATCAAAGAACAAAATTTTTAAAAGGAAATTTTCATCTTCGATACCACTTCGATAGTGTGAAAGGTTTGTGTCCATGTTGACCTTTTGATTGAAAACAATTATTCCAGCGAGTTAGGGAATGAGGAAATAGTAACTGGTGGCTAAAACTGGTTAATATGCATGTAGGACTAGTTCATAGATCGTACCATAAGCTGAATTACAATAGTTCCAGTGTTGCCTTGGTCCATTAACCAGCAAAGCTATGATACCCATCAAAAAAATTTTTTTTCCATACAAGAACTTTATTTCGATCGCTAACTTTGTATGGCAGCTATAGCCTGTAGTGGTCTGATATCGCCAGTTTTGGCAAATGACCAGCTAGTTGGAGAGAGAACGATGTGTGCAAAATTTCATATCGATATCTCAAAAACTGAGGGACTAGTTCGCGTATATACAGTCTGGTAAACGGATCGTTTCCCTACTATACAATATATGTACAAGTATGTATATACTCTATAGGGTCTCCAACATTTCCTTGGAGTTTAGTGTAACCCCTTAGTGTACTCAAAGAATAATCTCTAGCTACGACGGCTGTTTTCAAATTCATCGCATGTTTTATGGCAGTTGGAAATGAGCATATTTAAGGCTGGCAACCACAACAATCAAAGCGTTTGGTTTTTCTGGCTTATAATATTAGATAATTTTGTTGTTTTAAAATATCAATACTATTACCGTTGTGCTTCTGCAGCCTTTAATTCTGTCTAGCGATCGGCTAGGTTGTGTATTTCACCTTCATTGTTTTTGTGTGCAAGTCATTGCAATTGTTTTGTTGCGCTGTTCTCAATGCTGCTGCAACTACATACATACTAATATATTTTCCGGTGGATTTGTTGCTGCTGTTGTTGTGCTGTTGCCTTTATTGTGTAATCAGCAGATAACGGCATTTAATGGCTGAATGGTTTTCTAGTGGCAGCCGCAACGGCCGTATGAATGGCCGACACATGGGCGAACTTACGACTGTCGGTGGAACGGCCGTTAAGTCAATGTGCTTGCCTCCACCGAATTCGCGGCTTTTGCGTGTTTTTTGTTGTTGTTATGCCGTTACATTTCGTTGGCTGCCTTCACGGTGTTTGTTGCTGTGCGCATTTTTGTTGAAGTAATACAGCTAATACAAGTATTATATTATGTATAGTGTCTATGGATGTATGGATATATATATATGTACGTACATATACATATATATTGTACATACATATGTGTGTTAATTCAAGTATTTTCACCGACTTTTTCGCTTATTTGTTGCTGATCTGCTTTTACACACTGTTGTTTTCGGCCTGTTCTAGTCGGTAGTCGGCTATTTCATTGTTTGCTGATAGTTTTTCTAAATGTTTATTGTTCACATAATACTACTGCCTATCAGCCGATCCACCAGTCGGTTAGCTTGCTCGTTTGTACGTACTTTGCAGCTTGATTCATCTGTCGGCTGGGCTGCCTTGACTTAGTGGCGGCGGGAAATGGTTTTTCTCACGAACAATGAATATTTCGTACTACGTACTCGTAACAGTGTCATACAAAAACAGCAACAACTACTCAAGCGTATAATAAATGAAATAATACAGAGGTAAAGGTATTTACATATGTATGTAATTTAACATATATATTCGACTGAAAAATACTGGCTGCCGGTTAGATCGAATTTTAGTGATAATAACTTTTAATCACAACAACTTTTGCGAAGATGTATTCGATTGATTTCGTCACTGCTCATAAACTTAGCAAACTATTCTCACTGTTGGACATGCAAATATACATACATATATCTATCTAGCTACCAATACTTATTCGCTGCAATTAATTGCGAATTTAGTACGCTTTTACCATCGCCAATGAAAAAAAAAATTTTAGATTTCACTAAAAAGAATCATTAAAATTTTAATTAGTGAACCAATACATATTATATGTATGTTACATGTATACACAGATCCATTCATACATATGTTGGAAGGAGTATTCACATTTCACTGCTCTATGCCCGTCCGAAAATAGTTGATGGCGACCGAATCTACTTACACTTCATTAAACAGCGAAAGGATCACAAATTTGATTGAATTCTTGCAAAGAGCAAGTTAACTAATTTAAAGCTTTGTTTTAGACAACTTGGACTAGATTTTAAGACAATGGCCTATTTAATACTAAACTATCTGCAGCGTCCCTTTCAACTTGGTACTTAAAACCAGTTCTTGTGTCTAAAAATGAGGAAAATATGTTTGGAATACTTAACCCTTTAAAACTATAAAGACAAACAAAAGTTAATCTAATTAAATAAAGTAATGTGGTCAGACAATTGATATTTTGGTTCATTTTATACATTATTGGCATCAATCACTTTTTACAGACCTACTTTGCTAAATTATAGCTCAAAATTTTTTTATTTCTGATAAGGTGTTGTTCACTTACAAACCTTTAACTCTTGAATGCCATTCAGTTGAATATGTATAGACCACCACTGTAGGTGCTGAAGCGTATTCCTATATTTGCACCAGCCTTTTAATAGATAATAATAATAGATAGAAATTAATCAGTAGCTACAAAAAACTTAAAATTAAATATTTTTGACAACTTCTTTAATAAAAACGTTCCACTTCATATACCTATATAACATTAATTTTTTAAGAGCTGGAGCAAATCCTGTTTAACGATTTTCATGAGAACACCATTTGTTTTAGTTTTCGATATAACTTTCCCTCGCATCGATTTCACATTTACTCTATTCCCTAGGGTATGACTGACGAGAAATTTCAACCTTTATCTTGCAAAAGCTGAACAATGGAAGAGAAAGTGCGTGGAAGTTTCCACCTCACCTTCTTCCATCAAACTTGGACAATTTGCGTCCGACTGAATTTTTAGACTTACAGCATGAATGACTATTGGACAATGGCCAGTAAAAACTACTAAAATTGTTGCAAGATGAACTTTGCTAAAGGCAAGTAGTTCAGTAGATCTTCTAAGTTCTACTCTAGGCCAGAAGGAGCTGGTAGTCGCGCAAAGGCTGATCGTCGATCAACGCCTGATAAGCGCACTTGAGGTCCATAGGTTCAGTGCTTTTTCAACGTAAGTCAAATTCCGGAAAAATTGATTGTGAAGCAGCGATACAAATAAAAATACATAAGGGCTGGCGCAAGGGAGTATGAGTTGTCAGAAATGTATTCAAAACTACAAAATAATACTATGAAAGTAAAAACAGGATAAAAGTTGGAACAGAGATCGAGGAAGCCTAATTGGAAGACTATATTATAGTTTTGTCAAAAAATGTGGTCGAATTTGATACAGGTTTT